AAAGAAAAAAGCCAGAAGTGGCACTGTGGCGCAAGTGGTAGAGTGCTAGCCTTGAGCTGAAGAGCTGAGGGACAGCGCCCAGGCCCAGAGTTCAGACCCCACAACCGGACCCCCCCAAAAAAAATTACTGATACCATTCATACACTGGGTCTGAACATCTATAACTTGAAACCACATGGAGTAGGCTTTATTACTTTCACAAAATAACTCACCAAAAACTTGGATCTCAGTGCTCTATCTTTAATACAACTTTTACTTATTTTTCCTATAACACTGCCCAGCTTTCATTAAAAATGCTCTGCCTTTCAGCAAGTGTAATATTTTCACTTTATTGTTTAAATTAAGCCCATGACTTGGCATTACCTTTTGACCATATTTGGTTAAAATTGTGTATCCCACAGATAAAGCGGGCTTACAGTGTTGTATACCAGTTAGCTTTTGCAGAAAATGAGCTGGGTAGTCCCCAGGTAGATTGGGGAATGGGAAGTGGATGGAGTAAAGTGTTGGCTGTGTCATTAGCTAGAAGGGCTGGGAGGGGCATGAGAAGACAGCACTCATCTCCTTCAAGAGACATAACTAATTGAAAGCTGGACTAAGGTCATACCAGGAGCAAACCCCATGGCCTTTGCCTGGATTTCATCTAGGTGTATCAGTGATTGAAGTATAGCTTCGCCTGGAAAGGTAGGAAAACAAGTTTTCAGGTGGGAAGAGGTAGTTTGAAGGATAAAATGAAATTTTAGAGAAAGGAGATTTTTTTTTTTTATTGAGCACATCTGGAATATGAGAACTGAAGTTCCATTTGAAAGTTAGAGAACAGGTAAGAAACTGGGAATATGTCGGGCTGGGAAGGTGGCTCCATGGTAGAATGCTTACCTTGCATGCCTGAGGACCTGGGTTCCATTCCTCAGCACCACATAAGCAGAAAAAGACGGAAGTGGTGTTAGAGCTCAAGTGGTAGAATGCTAGCATTGAGCTGAAGAGCTGAGGGACAGAGTTCAGGCCCTACGACCAACAAAAAAAGAAAAAAATTGGGAGTACTTTGGGACTTGCCCCTTATAAAGATATATGCTAAAAACTCTCTATACAGAGACTGAAAGGGATTGGCTGTGTTGGCTACATAAATCTGAAGATCCTCAGATGTCCCAGATGCATGCCTCTATGGCAGCAGGACCTCCAGTATAGAGATACAAAAGTATCTTGTTAGCTAGATAGGATATAAGAGCACCTCATGCTGGCAGAGCAGCCTAGACCTGTGGATAAGTGTAAGTTATCTACCACTACTGGTGGTGCCTAGCAGGCTGGAAGTCTATAGCCATGCTGGCCTGCTGCTCCTAGTAAACAGGTGTACAAGTGAAGTACACAAGTGAGTCATTTTGTCAAGGATTTTTTTTTTTGCCAGTCCTGGGGCTTGAACTCGGCCTGGGCCCTGTCCCTGAGCTGCTCATGCTTAGGGTTAGCACTCTACCACTTGAGCCACAGTGCCATTTCTGGTGTGTTCTGTTTATGTGGTACTGAGGAATTGAACCCAGGGCTTCATGCATGCTAGGCAAGCACTCTACCACTAAGCCATATTCCAAACCCCAAGGATCTTTTTATTAAGTCAGACTCCAGTACGCTTTTAGGAGTTAAGAGAGAAAGGGCAGAGTATGGGGCCTTGAGGATTGTGAAGAATGCAAGGTAAGTGGGGTGTGAAAATCTCTGCTGTGGATTCATGTAGCTTCTGTGGCTGGGCTTCCATCACCTCTTACCACCAGGTGGTGGCAAGTCTTGTGTTGTAGGGATGGATGTTTGTGTGTGTATGTGCTCTCTGATGCCAGGGCTTGAACTGGGAGGCTCATACTGTCTTGCTTTCCTTTCTGGCATTGCTCCACTCCACCAATTTGGTAGGGGTGCCACTTCTGCCTGTGGTTTTGATTGAGGCAGTTTTATTTTATTTTTTTTTTGTGTGTGTTCGGTCGTGGGGCCTGAACTCTGGGCCTGGGCACTGTCCCTCAGCTCTTCAGCTCAAGGCTAGCACGCTACCACTTGAGCCATACCACCACTTCCGGCTTTTTTTTCTGCTTATGTGATCGAACCCAGGGCCTCATGCATGCAAGGCAAGCGCTCTACCACTGAGCCACCTTCCCAGCCCCTTGATTGAGGCAGTTTTAGTGAGAGAACCTGTCCTTTGTTGGGGAGATAAAATCTGTGGGATTGGAGAGTTTTGAATAACAGTACCAGGCTTACAGTCCACTCCAAAAGCGTGGGGGCAAAGCCTAGTAGCTTCAGGGAAAGGTGTCAATATATAGTGAAGGTTTCATCCCTAGGATCGCAGTCACTTCATTTCCCTTCAGGGGAACTGCAGATCTCTATCCAAGCCGACCTTGAGCCCTCAGGTGTAGGTAGAGGCCCTCCTAGTGATGGCCACTGACCAGCACTTGGAGAAGCCCAGGCTGTCCTGAGCTAAGACCTGTGCCTGACCCAAAGAGATTTAGGAGGGAAACTAAGGGCTGTGCTTGGCGGCCTGGTCAGGGGCTAGTCCTCAGCCCTGCCAGCGGAGACCAGCCTGCGGAACTGTGGCCTGTGGCTCACTTCAGTGGCTAGGTCCATTAAATCAGTATCCTGTCTACCGACACCTCAGGGTCGCAGCCCTGACGTCCAGGAGGCGGGACTCACCGTGCACCCCGCTAGAAATGCTGTCCTGGGTCTCCCCATTCCCACTCACCGCCAGGGAGGGAGGCTCACAGTCACACGTCCCCACTCTGCTTTTATTGTCACACTTCCCAGGCCCTCGAGCCCCAGCCAGCCCTAGATCTTGAAGGCCAAGGTGAGGCCGTCGCCCAGGGGCAAGAGACTAATGTAGACCCGGGCGTCCCTCCGGATGCGCTCGTTCAGGTTTCTCACGCATTCTGCCTCGGCATCCCCTGGCCGCGGCCGCAGGACTTCACCGCGCCACAGGACCTGCGGAGGGGCGGGGCGTCGCCAGGGCGGGGCGAGGGCGGGAAGGGGCGGGG